AAAAAAAAAAAGACAAAATTTAAATACTTTATTTGAATAAAATTTTATATTTTAGAACAAAAAGTTAAGCATTCACACATTGTGCTTCGATAGCGAATAGCTTTCTTAAATGCAAAAGCATGCAGAAAAAAAATGCAAGCTAATTTATTCAAGCCTTCCTTTTTCCAACCATGTTGCACTGGCTTACGGCACCTACCCTCACATTTTGGTAAGCAGATCCTAATTTAGATTCGAACGACTTGAAGAAAGCTGAATTGCGCATATCATTCCACTTATTTTTCACCGTGTCTGCCGTGTCAGAGACAACTTCCGACGTCTTCTGATATCTGTAAACAGCCCAATCAGAGAAACTTGCAAAATAACCCTCTAACAGTATCATACTTAAAAATCTTTCTAACACTCCTTTTGGAAGTGTCGCACCAATTGTGCCGTTACGAAGTGACAACTAAATGACTCAAGAAGAAGTTCCTTCATTAATCGGTGAAAACTAGAAAATATATAAAAAAAAATATAGAAATACTAACGCTTGCGATGACTTGACATGTTGTAAAGACTGGTTAATATCTGCAGTCAATTCGGTAAGAGGAGAAATACCTAGCTTTCTTTTAAGTTCAGAAGCATGCTTCTGTCTTGCTACAAGCACTTGGCGCAAAGTATTAATTTCGTCTTCCGTCTAAAATAAATGCTTGTAAACCTCTAAACTGCAAAATAGAAGAAAATTTCTAAAACGTCAATAACAACACACTTTCTTAAGTTCTTTTCTGAGCTCTTCCTTTTCAGCTTCGGTCAACTGGTTTGAACTGCCGTTTACATTAAAATTATCATCGCCTGCTGGAATAAAGTGTTAAAATTACGAGTAGCAAATTAGGCCTTTAATGAGGATCTTCACTAATAATAAGAAACTAATAATTTATGAAAACTCATAATAAATAAAAGATGTAAAAATCTAAAGAAATAAACAGAGAAATCAGGTAGAACTGATCAGGCTTTTAAATGAAAATAATTCTAAAGGCAAAACAGAGAAAGCAATTCAAAATGAAAAAAATCAAACAATTTCCTAATAGCTATTCCTATTTCAAATCAAGCCACATTAAATAGTGAAACAAAGCCCTAAAAATTTCAAATAGTCATTGGGTTTCAAGTAGTCACTGGTCAAGTCAAATCCGGTTGATCATTTGTAGACTAAAGAAAAAAAACAAAAAACAACCCTTAAAACAAAAATTTAATAAATTAGTTCTACACCAAATGCCTCATAACTTTCCTACAACATAGATGAGCTTGAAATATATGCGCTTATACAGACATATATACGGTAACAATAGATTTTACCCCCTTCTTCATCCGATTCCTTGTTTAGTTCAGCAGCAAATTTGTCCATAGCAGCTTGCATTTTGTCCTCTTTAGTATTCTTTGGTGCTGCTGGTTCAGCATTAGATGCTACTTCTTTTTTAGCTGTTGGTTTTGGAGGCATTTCTACAGACGAAATTAAAACAGAAAAA